TACCCACTGTGGCTTCCCAGGTGCTGCGACTTGCAGGGAAACAGCCTTATGCGCCTAGACCCAACTCGGCCAGACGCTGGGAAGACAGGCCTCGCAGAAAGAGGACTAACAGGTTGGCCCGCACGATCGCGGTCACTGGACAGCCGCAGACTCCCCAGCATCGGCTCTGAACCCACGCGGCGCGCATGTGCGCAGCCAGCGGCGACGTGGGCGGGGCGTCGCTGGCCCCGAACCCTACCTTCCACCTCCGGCCGCCAGGGGGCGCAGTCGGGCCGGCTCCTTGCGTTTCCGCCGGCGCCCCGCCCTCCTGGCTTGTCCTGCGCCGCGATTGGCTGCTCGGAGGGAGCGCGCCGAGTCAGGGGGCGGGGCCCGCGCCGGCTACAAAGCGGCGAAGGTCACGGCGCGAGCAGGCGCGTCGCCGCCAGCGCCCCGGACTCGCCTTCTCGCCGCCCGCGCCGGAGCCATGGAAGGACTGGGCGCGCTGCTGGCCCGCTGCCCCACGGCCGGCCTGGCTGGTGGCCTGGGCATCACGGCGTGCGCCGCTGCCGGCGTGCTGCTCTACCGGATCGCGCGTAGGTGAGTGCGCGGGCCCGGCAGCACGCGGCCCGGCCTGAGTCCTCGCGCGGCCACCGGGCTGCCCCACCCCCACAGCGCGCTCCCGACTGAGAATCGCGCCTGGTAGCTGGCCGGGGCGGGGGCTCCGAACGCGGGGTGCGGGCGGGGACGCTGCCTCTTCCCGCCGCTGCCCCCTGGTGCCCCCTGGGCCCTGGGCGCTTAGGCCCCGGCGGCATGCTGGGTGAGGCGACAGTAGCTAGGCTTGCCGTTTTGCTCACGATGGTTCGGGATGTGCTCCAGGGCCAGAAGACGGGAGACCCCGAGCTAAGTGATTGTCATCAGTTAGGAGCCGCGCTTTGGACTGGGAGCAGCTTGGGTCCGGAGCCCGCCGTCCTGGCCTCCGGCCTAGACTGCATCCCGGCTGAGCTGTAGCAGAGGGACATGTGTCCCCATGTGGAAGGGGCAAGATTCACTTGCAGACCCCGCATTCAGAGCTGGCCTTGCTCCTCCGCCTCAGCAATTAAAGGGCCTCTTGCTCCATCAAGACCCAGGGAATAGCGAGCCGCATCCTACCCTGTCCCCTTCCCTGGGGACACGGAGGAAGGTGGGCGAGAACACTCTCAGACCACAAGCAGCCAGGGGCGGAGCTGCAGCTTGACCCCGGGCAGCGTGGCCCGCGAGTCTTTCTTAACCACCGATGTGTCCTACTGCTCAGGGGGACGGTGAGTGAAGGTGTGGAGAGATGCGGGAGTGTGAAGAGGTGCGATTCTCATTGGGACTCCAGGCAGGCTGTGGGAGCGCCGACCCAAGAGGGTCCCCTCAGTCACTTCTCTGGAAGGTCAGCCTGACCAAGCCGGTTGTTTCAGAGCCACGGGAGCTGAGGCAGAGCTGGCACAGAGCGTGGGTTCCTCCTCGGCAGTGGGATGCAGCACCTGCGCTGAGAGCCTGCATTTCCTCTGGCCTTTGGCATGGGCTGCAGGAGGCAGGGCTCGCTCACGGTGCCATGTCCTCCCCTGTGCTCTTCTTGACTAAGCGTCTGGGGCTGTGGTCTGCTGCAGGGCAAGCTGTTGCAATGGCAGCCACGATAGTATCCAGAAGTCTCTACGCACCTAGGTAACAGAGTCATATAATAGCATAGGACCTGGGCAAAGGACCCGTCTTTCCTGGGATGCCCTGACATACCCTCACAATGCGGTGGGGTTCATCTAGTGGTCGTAAATTGGCTGCTGCCAGCATTTCAGAGCAAGAGCAGCGTGGCACGGATATGTACCCTTCTCCCCCTGGCCTGGCCACTGCGGGAGTTTTGAATGGGAGGGGGCATTCGAGCAGAGCTTTTTTAGGAAGGCGGCTTGGCAGAGCTGCCTTTGCTGGCTCAGCGCAGAGGTGACAGAAGGCAGGAGGTGGCCCTGCGGAGGGTGTGGAGGGAGCCGAATCTTGATGGGTGCTGTCCACTCAGCCCCAGCTGGGGCGTTGGGAAGTGGTCACTCTCTGAAGTCTTTGTGAGCTTCCGTTGTGCCCAGGATTTCTCCACCACGAGTTCCTTTTAGCCCAATAGTTAATGTTAATGATGGGAGCAGCTGTCATGTCATGCTGAAGATGGCCCTGAGACCCTGCATCGCTGACCAGACAGTGGCTCCTGCTGGGGGGTGCTCCTCAACTGCTTCTCCTTTTGTCTTTCCTATTTCATAGAAGAGGAAACAAAGCCCTAGAAAGGTCAGGTTGCTGCCCCAGGTCATTGAACTGTTGCTGCCACCCAGACTCGTGCCATGGGAGCTCCCTGATCATCTCGCTGCTGTCCTGCACCCTCAGGCAGGAGAGCACCAGGCCAGAGGCCCCAGGCGACACCTTCCCCAGCTGGCCCACCCTATGTCCAGGCAGCCACGGTGGCCTGTGCCTCCCTAGACCTTGACTCTGCTGCTCAGCTGGGTCCCACCCACCTTGGGGTGCATCCCCTGTAGGCTTCCTGCACCCGTCACACCCATGGCATCTGTCTGTGTTTGGGGACCAAGACGTGGAGCAGAGCCTGTCCTGGCACCCACAGTCCTTACATAGCTTTTCCCCTGTTGCAGGCCACGGTCCCTAGTCCCTGGTGCACACACCTTGTGTGGTCCCTGGTTCTTCAGGGCGATCAGAGAGGCACCGTGTATTGTCCACCATCCTTTCTGTCACCACCTACCCTTGAGGTGTCATTCTTGTCCTCTTGTCCGGCCTTTGCAAGCCGTTCACGGGGCTCTGAGATCTGATGGGAACGGTGTAACACCCCAGGCCGGGCCTGTCTCTGGGGTGTGTATATTTGGGGGTCTCAATGGTGGTGGCATTGCTGTGGGTTTCAGTGTGTTTTGCCTGAGTCTGGGGCAGGATGCTTGCAGATCCCTTGGGTCCTGGCAGTGCTGAGATGCAGTTCCGTGCTGCTGGGGTAGAAGGCGGGGGCCTCCTTGGGTTCTGCCCATCGAGTGGATGAGCTGGCCAGTGTTACCCAGCTGATCCTCAGAAAGCCAAGAGGAGAGCCACCTGTGAGGCCACTGCTCTGTGGATCTCAAGGGAAGCAATCTTTCTGACCCCCAGGGGGACAGCTGAGCCCTGTTGGTGTGGTGTCTGCTGTGTGGCATTGCGCTGGGTGCTCTCCCTATTGGGTCCCCCTTACCACAGCCCTGCCTGTGCAGGGTGAGGCCCCCGGGCCCCAGACTCTGTGTTATCAGGGCCACCGGGGCATGATGCATGCTCCCAGGAACACGTTCACCTGCAGCCTCCCCTTCCAGCATCCCCAAAGCTTTGTCCGAATCAATGTCTGCCCCCCCAGGGGTCCCAAGCTGCCTCCTGGATACAGTCTGGGCGTGGGGACAGCCTGCTGTCCTCCCACATTTGGTCCAGCACTGGGCTGAGGGCGGCCTGTCCAGGGCTGTCTTCCTCAGGTACCTGCATCACCTGTGTACCTATCCTGTCACCTCAAACCTTGTCCACCAAGTATGGCTCGTTCTGGAGCCAAGCTGTGGACAGAGCCTGGCCCAGAGGAGGGAACTGGGCCAAGGGTGAATGAGGGAAGCCCGGGGGCATTTCCCTGAGCAAAAGTGGGACTGAAGGGCTGTGCCCACATCAAACCCAGGGAGCCGAGCCCTAAGGCCAGGCCCACGCACTCTACCCTGGGAATACAAGGCCCAGGAGGGGACCTCAAACTGTCCCCTGCTCTGCCCTGCACCCCTCAGGGCTACCCCTGGACGAGATAACTGCTGCCAGAGACCCTGCCCGGCCAGCGTGGGTGCCACCCACCCACCCCGTGAGAGCACCCCAGCCTCCAGGCAGAGATGAGCTGCAGGCCCCAGGGACCGGGGATAATCCCCGCCTTGCACTGCCAGGCCGGGCTCCAAGGGGCGTGGAGCCATTTCCTTAGCACAGAGCTGGAGCTCCGAGTGGAAACTGTGGCTTCCTGGGACAGGAGGGGTTTCCTGCAGGGTCCCTGCCCATCTGTCACTGGTCCCCAGGGCCAGCGCAGAGGACGACCTCCCCTTCCGACGGCAGAGTTGGGGGGCCACGGGCCATCATCCAGAGGGGAGGTTACCACACCAGGGGCACTGCCTGGTCACCAGCTGTCAGGACACGCCCCGTGCACTATCACAAAGGGGCCTGTAAAGCAGGTACAAATTAGCAGAGCTAAATGTTTAATTGCCCTGGAGTGGTAAATGCCAACTACGCAGAGGAGTGTGGATTCCCAGGTCTCTGCGCGGGTGGCACCATGGCCTTTGCCAGTGCCATTTCCTTGGTGGCCCCAGGAGCTGGCTGGATGCACGCTAACCCCACACCAGGCTCGGCACTGGGTGACGCCCTCCCCGAGCCTCTCAGGGTGAGGAAATGAAGTGGAGATGCGGGCAGAGAGATGTCACAGTGCGAGCTTTGAGCGGGCGTATCCTGCCGCCCACCCCCTCTGCTGGGCCTGGTTCCGTTCCTCTCCTTGTCCCTGGCCTCGCAGCCCCCGGGTCACTACGATCCGTTGACATCCGGCTTTGCCCATCGACCAGGCACTGTCCGGCATTTCCCACAGCCAGGACCCTGCAGCTCAGGGCCTCTTGTCCCCAGCCCGCAGGTGACAGAACTCCCCTAATCTGCCCGAGGTGGAGGCACAAGGCCAGTCGGTGACAGGAGCTGGAGCTCAGCCACTGGCAAGCCCTGGATGAGGTGGTGACAGAGCTGGGCCTTTGCCCCACAAGGCATTCCATGACTGTGTCATTGTGTCCTTGTAACAGGTGGGTGCTGTGGCACCCACTTGGCAGGCAGAGGTACCCAGGCTGGGAGGGCAGGGACTTCCTGGGTCACATACTCCAGTGCTGGCAGCACCACAGCCCAGGCTGTCTGAACAGCAGGGCCATCTCTGGGGGCAGCTGCCCATGCTGCCAGGCCGGGGAGGAGGGAAGGGACAGCAAGACCTGGGGCTCCAGCAGCTGCCGCCTCCCCCCCCCTACAGTGTCCTGCCAGCGAGGCATGTGGAGGGCTGAGCACAGATCCCGAGTGTCTGGGCTGGATTATCCTGCAGCCCCCACCTGTCACAGCATGTGTGGCCAGTGAGGGCCACTGTACTGATCCCCTCCCCAGAGAGACAGCTGTTACTGGCTCCGCCCCACGTCTTCCTCTGCTCTCTGGGGTGTTTCCTGGGAAGCCCTGCAGCCCACCGGGAGTACTGTCTCTCCTGCTGGGCCTGAGCCCTCTGCATCCATGTCCCAGCCCGAGGCCCATGGGGGCTGCTGGCCCTGGGTCCCCACATGGACATGCTGGATCTGGTGAGTGTCCAGCTGCCTCCTGGGGCAGAGACAGCAGCACCCAGGCTGCGTCCCTCTGCTCGGAGCCGGCGATTCCTCCTCCAGCTACCCCAGACCCCCTGTCTAGCACCCCTTCCCGGGTGGCCTGTGGCCGGGGCCACGCATCTCGCCAGAATTGGGGTCTTCTAGGCTGACACCACTGTCCTTGGTCCACAGGGCAAAGCCGACACACACAATGGTCAACTGCTGGTTCTGCAACCAGGACACGCTGGTGCCCTACGGCAACCGCAACTGCTGGGACTGTCCCCACTGCGAGCAGTACAACGGCTTCCAGGAGGTTCGGGCTCCAGCCCAGGGTGGCCTAGGGTGGTGACCCCTGTCCTCTCCTTGATTCTCACTGCTCGTAGGCCCTGGGAGCATGGCCCCTCGTCCAAAGCTCCAGGAAGCCAGTCTGGGAGCCTGCAGTCCCTATTTACAAAACAAGCAGGCGCCACAGGCCACGGTTTGCACACCGAGACCTGAGAGCTAGGACCTGGGCACAAAACTGGGTGAGGTGGGTGCTGGGAGGAGTGCCCAGGCTGGGTGGCCTCGCCCACAGCAGATGATCCTTAGCTTCTGCATGAAGCATCTCCGAAGAAAGCTACCGCTCCTGGGTCAAGAAAAAATGGGGAATCTCAGGTCCTGGTGTGGCCCCTCGAAGGCTCAGGCCTGGGCCAGTGCCAGGTCAGAGAGGGGGTTCCCACTGACCATGATGCCTCCCCCACCCCGACAGAATGGCGACTACAACAAGCCCATCCCTGCCCAGTACCTGGAGCACCTGAACCACGTGGTGAGCAGCCTGCCCAGCCCCCGAGAGCCCGCGCAGCCGCAGCAGTGGGTGAGCAGCCAGGTGCTGCTGTGCCGCAGGTGCAACCACCACCAGACCACCAAGATCAAGCAGCTGGCGGCCTTCACGCCCAGGGAGGAGGTGAGTGTGCCCCGCGCCCCCAAGGCAGGGCCGCTTCCTCCCCAGCTTCCCCAGTGTCTGCAGCCGAGCCTGGGAACCCCAGGGAGATAAATCCCAAGCCTGCCAGGGCAGAGGGGTTTGTCCCGGGCAGAGAGAGATGTGGGGCCCATCGTGACATCGGCCCTTGAACACGTCCTGTCCACGGGTGCCTGGGTGGAGGACTTCGGACCTCCTGGCTCTGGGAGTAGGAGGAAGCAGTGGTGCTGAGAGCCCAGCTGAGCTGGACTTTTCCTCCCCTGGGACCTCAGAGCCTGGTGACCTGGCTTCTCTTCCTGCCTGACCCCCAGATCTCGCCTAGCTGGGGGTGCCATGACCTCAGGAGGCAGAGCCCTGCTGAGGTGCAGGCACACCAGCCTTCCCAGTCCTGCCGGGGAGCTCGGGGTCTACAGCAGGTGACGAAGGCAGGCTTGGCTCCAGGCTTGACAGGCCCACGCGGTCCCCCCGGAGGTCACACTGATAACTATCCTGGCCGCTGTGGACAAACATCGGAGGCTCAGTGCTGTGTCCCTGAGGGATCTCAGGGTGGGTGGGTATGAGGGATCTAGGGAGGGACTGGGCTCCCAAGCTGTCCCCGAAGCCCACAGAACCCTTGAGCTCCCACCGAGGCCCAGGCGCTAGCAGCAGCCCTCCGGTGCATTTCAGAGCCCAGCTCATCTGTCTGCCACGTCCAGGCAGCCTCAGCCCAGAGCACGGTCTCTGGAGCCACCATTCTCTGGGGCAGGGCAGGGGAGCAGTCCAGAGTTGGGGGGCTCCGCCAGTGTCACTGCGTGTGAGTGCCCAGGCCTGGATCTGAACCCCTATCCTCAACACCAAGGGCAAATACGATGAGGAGATCGAGGTGTACCGCCACCACCTGGAGCAGATGTACAAGCTGTGCCGGCCCTGCCAGGCGGCCGTGGAGTACTACATCAAGCACCAGAACCGCCAGCTGCGTGCCCTGCTGCTCAGCCACCAGTTCCGACGACGGGAGGCGGACCAGGCCCAGGTGCGCTTGAGGCCCTCATGTGGGGCGTGGGTCTGCAGGGAACCCCAGGCCCCCACCTGCTGGGATGGGTGTGCTCCTGAGGAGAGTGGCCAGGGTCGCGATGGCCACATGCCACCATCTCTGGGCACCTGCTTGCTGACCCTTGCTACAGCCTTCAGCTCTGCTCGCAGGACTGTGACACCGTTCACAGGACTGTGACACTGTTCACAGCCGCAGAGCCCAGACCCAGGGAAGCCGAGGGGCTTGCATAGAGCCCCGCACCTGGTGCATGGCGCTGCCAGGTTGGGCCTCATGTGCAGTCCGGAGTTCAGAGTGTCAGACATGGGGTGCGTGGACCCTGTTTTCAGGCCTGGAACTTTTGTTCCAGCCCAGCCTCCTGGGTCCTCAGCTGAGGAGCTCATTGATAAGATATATGTGTGTGCATTTTTTTTGAGACAGTCTCAATGTACAATTCAAGCTGGCCTTGAGCTCACTTTGTATTCCAAGCTGTTCTTAAACCCAGTGATCCTCCTGCCTCAGCCTCCTGAGTGCTGAAATTACAGGCGTGTGTGTGTGTGTGTGTGTGTGTGTGTATTTTTTTTTTTTTTTTACCTCTGGCCAGAGTTACCTGCACATTGAATGCAGTTTAGTTAGAGGCACAGGGAAGCTTTTGGTGACAGCTTGACACAGCGATTGAAACTTAGAGAAACAACGTCATCACGGGGTGGGAAAGGTTTCTCTAAGAGCAGGGGACACCTGTAGGAGGGAGAGGGTAATGGTGGGCAGCTCTGGGCACCGGGCTGGCTGCTGTGGGGTCCTGGTCAGCACCCCCACCCAGAGTGAGCACGGGCCCTGAGGGCAGCTCTGCGGCCTGACCTGTGTGTCCCTCTCCCTCCCCCCAGAGCTTCAGCTCCTCTGCGTCCAAGGCCCCAGTCCAGGTCATCCTGCTCCGCGCCCTGGCCTTCCTGGCCTGCGCCTTCCTGCTGATGACGGCACTGTACGGGCCCAGCAACCCCTTCACCCTGGGGGTTGCCCTGCCCCCAGCCCTGCCAGCTGGCAGCAACGACTCGGCTGCACCAGACAACAACACTGCCCCCGGGACTGAGGGCTGGCGGCAGCTGCTGGACCTGCTGCCCGAGCACACAGGGGAGAAGCTGCTCGAGGCCTGGGCCTTCGGGCACAGCCACCAGATGGGCATCGTGGCCCTGGGCCTGGTCACTTGCCTGCTCGCCATGTTGCTAGCCGGCCGCATCAGGTGCATGTGGGGCCGGGGACACCGGCGGGCAGGGGATACTAAGGCACAGTCCTGGGCTGAGCCCTAGGCACCATGTAGCCAAGTAGGCTTTGTCCCTGTTCCCCGGCCTGGGAGTCTGGCAGGCACTATGGGCAGAGCGGCCAGGGCACTGGGCCAGCCAAGCACTTGTCCCCCATGGGGTGGGCCCGGTCACCTCCCTCCTCCTCCTCCTCCAACTTGAGAATTGGGGTGCTGCTGACCACCTGTCCCGTTGGGCCTGGCTCCCTCCTGGGTACACGCATGCACGCACCCAGGGCGGTGCTGACTGGCTCAGAGCTCTGCACTGTCCGGGGGTCCTGCACTGTCCCCTGGGCACTCACCCGCCCTCCTGCCCTGTCTCCCACAGGCTCCGGAGGATCGACGCCTTCTCCGCCTGCCTGTGGGCCCTGCTGCTGGGGCTGCACCTGGCTGAGCAGTACCTGCAGGCGACCTCACCCAGCTGGCTGGACACACTCAAGCTCAGCACGCTGTCCCTGTGCTGCCTGGTGGGCTTCACGGCGACCGTGGCCACGAGGAAGGCGACAGGCCCACGGAGGTTCCGGCCCCGAAGGTCAGATCAGCAGCAGTGACTGCGGGGGGAGGACAGACGATGCACAGGCCCGGGACTCGCCGTCCGGAGGAGGCACCCCTCGGCCTTGTCTTTCTTACTCCCCTCCCCGCCTAGGTCCCAGGGCCTGGCCCGGCCCTGGCATCCTCTTCTTCCTCACCTGCCGAGCCGGCCCCCAACCTGAGGTGCTCCCCAAGTACCCTGGAGCTGCTCTCCACTGCCTCCACCTCTTAGGCCTCAAACCCTTTATCAGCGGCTGTGCCTCAGCAGTACCCGTGCAGCCCGCTCCTGACCCCCAGCTTCCTGCCGAGCTCTGGGCACAGGGGCCGTGCTGCATGGCCTGAGCACTCGGGCTGCTGGGCAGGACCCAGGCCATTCGGCAGGGTGCACAAGGGACAGGGCAGAGCCGCCAGCTGTCCCTGCCAGGGAACCTCATGCCTGGCGTGCCATGCTGGTCTCGATTGCAACTAGACTGCCTCCTGGGGTCCCCTACTGAATTCTTTCTCTGAGACCATTCTCAAAGTGCCCTCTCTAAAGGGATAGCACTGTCCTCGGTCCCTGCCTGGCCTGGCCAGAAATCTCAACATGATCCCTGTCCACAGTGCACAGTTACATTGGGGAGAGCAGGTTCCCTCCAGCAGCCAGGCCCCAGTGGGAAGGTCCCTACTGTGGGCCATGCAGGAGGACGTGGCCCTGCTCCCATGCAGTGCCGGGGAGAAGCATGGGTCGGGAGCCTGTGGAATGTACTGGCCATGGGGCCCCAGGTCCCTGTCACCTGTCACTGGTCTGTTGCAGCTACTCACAGAGGGTGCCCTCCATTTCCCTGTGGGTGCCACCCAGGGATGTGCCCCCTCCAGGCTCATCGCCCCCAAGGCAAGGCCCAGAGGTGCTCCTTGTGGCTGTGAATGGTCCTGGCCAGGACCCCAGGGTGCTGGTCCCCATGGGTGTGAGGTTATGTAAAATAGCAGGCAGGGACATGCCCTGCAGTTGAGGTGCTATCTCCCCATAGAGAAAGCTCTCAGCCTGTGGTTCTCCAAGGCCTTAAAGTGCTTCTGGTGGCCCTGGCGTACTGCCCTCTCCCCCGCAGGCCTAACTCTGTCATGCCCTCCAAGGGCACCTCCGCCGTTGCGGGGGGAGGGCATAGCCAGTCAAACCTGCCTGAGGGTCGTACTCAGCACAAGCCAGGGTGCTTCCTAGCAGGCAATGGCTGGCCCGTGGCGGTCCCTTCCGATCCCCTTCCATCTGCACCTCTGCAACCAGAGAGCCCCTGCTCTGCTGTATGTGTGGTGCACCTGGGGTCGCGGGGGCTTCTGTGTCACCTTGGGTCACTGGACTCAGCTCGTCCTGTGTGGGATGAGACAAGAAACCACCCCCAAAACACAGATGAGGCCCAGGCCCTTCAGCTCAGCGTGAGGGCAGTGGGGTGCACTGGCCACAGCTGCCCCTGGCGGCTGCGAATTCTGAAGGGATCAGAGTCCCCGCCTGTCTTCAGCCTCAGAGGGGAGGGAGGGAGGGGCATGCACTCTGGTGTCCCCATGGGTCTCCCGTCCTTAGGAAACTGACAGTGTGATACTAATTTCTGCAGTTTGGGCATTGGGTTAGAGCAGGACGTGTGTGTATGTGTGTGTGTGCGTGTGTGTGTTTAAATTAAATTATTTATAATAACCCGAGCCAGCTCTAGTCTGGCCAGGATACCCTGCTAGGCAGTGCCTCTCCTGCCCCCTGGTGGCAACAAGAACGCGTATCAGTCAGTCGGGCTTCCTGGCCTTTCTGGAGTTCTCTGGGCTGTTACAAATGAACTGTGTGTTAGTTGAGTCTTCTGGTGTTGCTGCAACAGCTGTGGAAAAGCAGACACTCCCGGGGCTGGCCTGGTGGTGGCTGTCCCAGGCTGGGGTGGGATCGCAGGGAGGGAAGGTGGCCGTCCCGAGAGGTTGGGGGATCAGCCTTGTGCAGGCTGCAGGCTGGGGTCCCCACCCCGGGCTGAGCAGTGCCCTAGTAACACTGGCTCTGGACTAAACCGGGACCACCCTCCACCATGCCCTGGCCACCCACCCCGTCCCGTTCAGAAAGGCCCGTAACCTGTGTGCCCACGTCTTCCTGAAGTAGACCGTGGATTGTCTAGTGCCCCCTAACCGCTGTACCCTCCGCCCGGCCCTAGTCATCCTGTTCTGAACGCTGTGTTTTCAATAAATGCCTCCTGGGCCTGCTACCTCGGCTGGCATCAGGTACCTTGGCGTTTTTCTTTTTCTTTCATGTTTCTTCAGAAGTGCTTCTGAGCCCGGCAGGGGCGTGGGGTTAGGCTTTGGGGTGTGTGTGTGCCTGTCACGGGAGTTGGGTTAGGAATCAGATTCAAGGGCCGGCGGCAGAGACCTCACCGCCGAGGCTGTGTTCCCTGTCTCATAGCAGCGTCAAACATCTCTGCCCAGCTCCTCATGGAGCTGGCAGGAGGCCACCCAGCTCCTCCAGGGTGGGGTGACAGTCCGGGCTGCCCTCCCCGAGGTCACCACCTGCCTCTGGGGACAGGCACACTTGGGCCCCAGGCAGGCCGGGGCTTTGGCCAAAGCTGGGTTCCGTTTACCAGAAGGAACCCCTGGGGTAGGGCCATGTCTCCTGGTGTCACCCCAGGGCATGGGCACGTCTAGAGCTGCCTTCTCACAGTGCCAGCACTCCTGGTGGCATGCAAGTCAGGGACAGTCCCTGTGCCTGGTGTCTGGATCTTGGGCTTCACCAGGGAGGGTAAACAGGTCCTGTTAAAGGGGGGACACCCTGGCCAGACCCAGCTGTGCCTGCTGGTGCCCACCCAGAGGTGCCAGGAGGCTCAGATCCCCCCAGTCACCTCTGAAACCTGTGCCTCCACCCTCACCAGCCCCTCACCATGCTTGCCCGTCCCTGGGGGTCCCTGGAGATGGGGCACAGAAGCCCAGCACAGAGTCCTGCTGCAGGGGCCCAGCTCCTGCCCACTCTGAGGCCACACCTGCTGCTGTGGTACCACTGTTGTCCTGAGTGGGCAGGCCCGAGGCCCCCAGCCGCGCGCCCGAAGGTGTCCGTTCTCACGCTGCTTCCCGCCTTCCCTGAAGCTGGCATGAAGGTCCCCAGCAGGAATGTGGGACCTCTGGTTTTGGTTTCAGTCTGGTTGGGGTTTCTAGTTCGTGCCTGGAAGACGCTCTACCACTGAGCGTGTCCCTCAGACTTCCTCTGGCTGGAGGCAGAGCCTTCCCTAGAATCTTGGGGTGTCAGTAGGCCCAAAGGGACAGGTCAGCAGACAGCAAGGCTGCATCCATCCAGCCCAGGGCCTCTGCAGATTCTCTGCCTCACTTTTCCCAGACTCTGAGCTATACTTCTGGTGGCTTTCTGGCACTTGGCAGGGAATTGGGAAGGTCCATGATTCTTCGGGAAGTCCCCGCACCCGCCTCGCAAAACTTCTTTAAAAGGGACAGGGAGGTGGAAAGTGCCCTGGACCGTGGACAGTGCCCATCGTAGCCAGTGACCCCCCACCCCCAGCACTCTGATGTGACGGCCCAGGCACCTTAGCCACCCCCGGCTCACCACGGGCCTGAGTCTGCCCGCCCCTCCGTCAATCAGCAGTGTCTTCTGGGCCCATTTGTCCCTTGGGATCCAGGTAAGGCTGGGCACCCAGGGCCCCGTCCAGACAGCAGACTGACGTATTAACTGCCTCTGTCTCCCTCTGTAATCTGGGGCCTTAATCGGAAGCATGGTTGACATTCTGGCCTGGGACCCCTGGTCCTGTTGTGTGATTTGTATCTTCTCGAGTTAAAGAGACACTGTCACCTCTGTCTTTTGGGCAACCTAGTAGCCGTTTCCAGGGCGTTTCTCAGTGCGATTCTGATGTGTTTCTGTGGGAGTGACCTCGGGTCCTCAGCCCAGCCGGCTCACGAAGTGTCCACAGGGCAGGCAGCGGTCCTCCCAGGCAGGGCGCCAGGACACGCCTCAGAGCTTTGTGCCCAGCAAGGGCCACCGAGCATCACTGAGCTCTGCTGTGTGGGAGGCTTGGGGAGACGGGAAGTGCCAGACAGAGCCCGAGTCTCCGGGCATCATCACGCCGGGCAAGGGAGTGGCGTTGAGGTTGGCAGGAGTGACAGTGCCTCCTTAACGGCGAGACCTGTAGTGGAGGTGGTTTGCTGTGAGCCAAAGGGGCATGCAGGGCGGGCTGGTCATGCTGGCACCCCTGCCACCCGCTCCTAATGGCACGAATGGGCCACTGCTTTCCTGCTTCCACTAACGCACGCCTCCTCTGGACCCCAACTCCAGGCCCCCCATACTCCGAGCCGGGGCCGGGCCCTGCTGTGCCAGGTGACCCTAACCCCCAGGTCCTCGGCTCACCTGCTCCTCTCTCCTTGCCCGACGGTGCTCGCAGGTGCTTTCCCGGAGACGCCACAGGCTTCTTCCCCACTGGCCCCAGCCTGGCCATGCCCAGCCCGAGTGTCACGGGCTCCTCGCCGGCCCTGTTCGTCCCCACCCCACCGGGATTCCTGCCGCTCGCCAACCAGCAGCTGTTCCGGTCGCCCCGCCGGGCCTCGCCCTCTTCGCTGCCAGGCCGCCTCAGCCGTGCCCTCTCGCTGGGCACCATCCCTTCTCTGACTCGAGCAGGTAAGAGGCCGGAGGGGATAGGGCAGTGGAATCGACCCTTGTGGGTCAAGGCCTGACGGTGTAGCTCAGTGGTCAGCACCCCGTTCAGAGCTGGGTTAGCCCACTCTTGCTGTGCCTGGCCAAGAGCGCTGCCCGTGCAGCCTGTTACCCTTCCAGAGTGCAGTGGGAGGAGGGGGCATCTTGGGAGGCAGTGAGGGCCCCATGAGAGGATTTATCCAGGGCCTCCGAAGGCCACAAGTACCAGGGTCTCTGAGTGCCCAGGGTCTCACCTTTTATCCACACTGTGCTGAGACCAGGAGCTGGGCAGTGTGCCTCATGGGCAGGGTTCACCACTCTGGCCGGTTGTATAAGTTGTCCAGGCTGGGCCCCAAGGGCCAGTCCTCCTGCCTCAGCCTCCCAGGGTGCTAGGATTATGGGTACGCACCAAGACGCTCTGCTTGAATGCAGTTTTCAATCTGCCTGAGCCCTGGCCTGTCTGTGATGACCCTTGTCCCCCTTGGAAAAGCCGCCCTGTCCCTCGGTAGGCGTCGCTGGTGACCAAGCTCACTGGTTGCAGGGGCTTCGAGGCAGAATGTGGGTGCATCTGGGTCACCCCAGCTTCTCTATCCTGAGGTGCCTCAGCGACTGCTCCAGTCAGGCTGCTGCTCGGTGCAGAGCCACGAGCCCGTTTCCTGGGTGACTCCATGGGAGGGCGTCCTCCAAGATGGAGACGGTTACTCCAGCTAAGTGGGTGACAGTTCCAGGCCTTCGGGGGCCCTTACAGCAGAGACATGGACTCTGGGTCGTCCTGCTTCCCCAGACTGAGCCAGGTGGCTGGCGGTGAGGGCTGCTCTGGTCCCCGAAAAGTGTCCTGTGTGTCAGGCACGGTGCCAGACTTGGAACCTGACAGCAGGCCAGGCCGCCCAGACATAGCCCTGGGGTGTCATCCCTGTAGCAATGTGCTCGGCCACGTGTGGCCCTGGAGTCCTGTGGGGTCCCTTTCAGGCGTCTGGGTCTGGGGACCCTGCAGCAAACACACAGAATGAGGAGCAGGAGACGAGGGCCAGCTGCCCACTCTTCATGACCCCAGAGGCTTCCATCTGTCCTGCAAGGCAGGACAGGTGCCTCGGCTGTGCCTGTGATTTCATGAAAGCCCCGGAAGATGGCAGAAGGAGGGGACCTCGCACCCAAGCCTGACGTGTGGGGTGTCTTTCTGCCCAGACTCAGGGTACCTGTTCAGCGGGAGCCGCCCCCCGTCGCGAGTATCTCACCCCCAGGAGGTTCCTCTTCCAGGTAAGGAGAGGGAGACCCCGGAGAGGGGCTTGGGGCCCGGGGGTGGGGAGCGGGAGCAGTGGTCGGGCTTTAGCTTTGGGGCCTCACAGGCCTGCCCGAGACACCAGACCCCGTGCCTTGGTTTCCTCTGAAGTGGGCAGTGATTTTAGGGCGGGGTCCACAGCGGGAGATGGCTCTGAGTGCTGGACACCACAGGCTTGGCCAGTGACCTCCGGTCAGGCTCGAGTTTGTCCCCAAGTGGCTGGGGCTCACCACCACCTCCCTTCTCCATCAGCCAACCCGCTCAGGTGCCCACCAGGCTCCCTGTGTCCCCCATTCACAACACAAGCCCCAAACACCTTCCCATGTCACTGCCCTCACGGCCCGGTCACCCGCCCTGCAGGTTACTTCTCTCTGCTGTCCGGGTGCCACCCGTCGTCCCCCCTGCCGTCCCCAGCGCCCTCCGTGGCCAGCTCCGTGGCCTCCAGCTCCGGCTCCCTGCGCCTCCGCAGACCCCTGATCAGCCCTGCCCGGCTCAACCTGGAAGGGCAGAAGCTGCTGCTGTTCCCCAGGAGCCCTGGGGAGCTGCCCGGCACCCCCAGCAGCTCGGAGGAGCACTCCCCACACAACGGCAGCCTCTTCACCCTCGCGCCGCCCCCGCGGCCGCCCATACCAGACAGGGACGCCAAGCTCAGCCCCGGTGAGCACAGTGCGGGGTCAGGCCTGGCCGACAGCGCGCTCCACCAGGGGGGCGGGGAGGGGGCCTTGGTCACTGTCAGCTCTGGACTCCGTGTGCGGCTCTGGGGACCTGGGGTCCTCCGGGACATTGCCGGCTATCGACTGACTTTGTCTTTCTCTTTAAAACTGGCCAGGGAGCCCCTTTCTCAGGTTTCTGTTGAAAACACCACATCATGGCCTGATAACCGGCCTGTCACAGGTGTCTTTGTTTGGCTTGATGTTTAAATCATTTTTAATTGGGCTCTTAGTTCCTTGACCATCTAGGATTTTCTCAGATGTTTTTCAGTGTTTGTGCTTTGAGGCAGTCAGGCTGTGTGGTTCAGGCTGGCCTTGAACTCACTGTGTAGCCCAGGCTGGTCTCAAATGCGCAGCTGTCCTGCCTCAGCCTCCCCAGTGCTGGGATCACAGTGTGCAGCTCCACACCTGCTCACAGATGCACTGATTTCCTGGCTGTGTCAGAAGATCCTACCACACTGGGCTAGATGCTGGCCAGGCAGAGGACGGGGCGGTTGGGCTTCCCTGTCCCCAGAGCTGCCCTCCTGCGGTCGCCCCGCCAGGGTACCTGTGCAGCCAGGGTCCTGCTGGGCTCGCTGTGGACCCAGCCTTCTGCGGTCAGGGTGGTGGGGGATCGGGAGGGTGCCCTGAGGCCACCGTGGCACTGTCTCCTTCTGTCACCATCTGTCACCTGGCCTGCTGCGGCACCTCTGAGACCATGCCCTTCTCCCTGCAGACCAGAGAGCGAGGCCGGAGAGTGGCAGCCCCTGCAGCAGCCGCTCCGTCAAGAAGGAAGATGACTCGTCCCAGTCGTCCGCCTGCGTGGTAGACACCACCACCCGAGGGTGCTCAGAGGAGGCCACCGCCTGGAAGGGTCTGTACCCTGCCGCCACTGCCCCCAGCCTGGAACTATAGGCTTAGTGACGCAGGAAGGGATCCAAGGGTCCTCGGCGACCCTCCCGTGCCCCGGGACCACGACCCAGGCCTCTGGGGTGCATCGTGCGAGGCAGTGCCAGCCGTGACTCTTCAGAGTCAGATTAGGAGCTCAGCTCCTCCGCTGCCCCACCTCCTGTGGCCCAGGGCTGCCACTGTGCTGGACACCTCCGGCCTGGGGAGCCAGGTGCATTCAGAGCAGCCTAGTGTGGGGTGCAGGTCTGGCACCCCATGTCGGGCTCAGGCCTGGGCCTGGGTGCTGGGCTGTGTCCTGGGGTCCTGGACTCTGCTTCCTGACTGGTGGGCCGTGAGGTCCCTCAGTGGTTCCCCTCCCTGGCAGGAGGCAGGGTGTGTGGAGGGGAAGCTGCAGCCGGGTGGGCCCAGGGTGCTGTAGAGAGAAGCCCCTGCTGCTACAGCTGGATGTGGTGGCGCACACTTGTAATCCCAGCACTCGGGAGGCTGAGGCAGGAGGATCGTTGTGAGTTCAAGATCAACCTGGGCCATAAGAGTGAGCTCAGCCTGAATGGCATAGCAAGACCCTGTCTCGAAAAGACAAAAAATTCCCTGCTGCTTAGGGCTGGGTCATCATCCGAGGTTCCCATTTCATCGGGTCATGGCCCAGGTGCAGGCATAGGCCGGTATGGCCTCGGCCTGCATGGTGGTCTGGGTCCCTCCCAGCAGGGAGCCTCTTGGTTGGGGAGGGCACTGGGGTGCTGGGCCCCACCGCACCCCTCTGATGAGCTGTGTCCCCCCACAGGGCAACTCGGCCCCTCCCTGATCCGAGGCCTCCTGGCCGTGAGCTTGGCTGCCAACGCTGTGTTCACCTCGGCCTATCTGTACCAGAGCCTGCGCTGAGCTCCTGGTGCCCACGGGCGGTGCCCAAAGGCAAGCCCATCACCACTGCCACCAGGACCCTCCGTCTCCCGGGCACGAGAGCGCCCATCCTTAGGCACCTGCTCCTCACCCACTGCTGCCTCCTCGGCTGACATCAGTCTCCTTTGGTGCTGACACCTCGACCCGAGGCCAGGGATTCGGAGATGGGCTGCCTGCCGAGGCTCCCTGCCCACCACTCAAGCCTGCCCAGAGGGAGTGCCCTGCCCACTGAGGCCACCTGGCACCAAGCCACCTCCCAGCCCCACCGAGATGAAGATGGCCTGGGACGAGGAGGCCCCGCCCTGCTGTGGCTCCAGGGCCCCCAGACTCCCCTCCTGCTAGGTGCACGCCTACTCCGTGACACTGGGAGCTCCCCGGCCCCTCGCTCACGCTGTCCATGGGGACCTGGCCAGGCCCCTGACTGCACACGAGCTGTGATCTTGGATGACACTGGACCCCTGCCAACCCCAGCCCCTGAGGTTCCACCGTCCCCACTTTGTCCTCCTCCTGCCCTTCCCATCTGTCAGCCCCTCAACATCAGACGCTTGTTTCCCCCCCTCCAGGGGCTGAGGGACCCCGTCCTGGCCCAGGCTGTCTGCTCCTGGGGGCTCTGGCGCTGAGGAAGGCGGGCCGGCGTCGGGCCGGGGCAGGGTCTTCACTGTCATTCAGGGATAAAGTTTATTTTATTTTTTTACACTTCTGTCGGGCGAGGCGCTGCCTGGCCAGCAGGATGCTGCCTGCACGTGGGTGCTGTCAATCCCTGGCCCAGGCGTCAGTGCTGGACCCCAAGTCCCCCTGCCAGGGTGGGATCCAGCATGGGCATGGCGCCTTAATGTCCCTCTGGACAGCGCTCTGTCCTGGTTTCTACTTTCGTTTGTCGCCTAAGAAAACAAAACCCCATCCCTGCCATCCCGTGTCCCAGGAGGCCCTGGCGCCCTGTGGACCTGGGAGGGGCTTTTACTCATGGTTTGTTCCCAAGAGAAAACACAACCTTATTTTTCTTTATAAAAGCAAAAAAATGAAACCAAAAAACAGGCCAACCTTGGAACTGGACCTGGCTATGTCATGTTTGTCCTCACCCGCCCGGGGAGCGCTGGGGAGGACCGGGCAGAAAAGATGATGGGCCTCTGCGCTCGGTACAGAGCTGCAGGGAGGCCCAGCTCCTGGTGGGGTCCAGGCGCCCTGTGAGAGGCCCAAGAGCTGGGCAGAGGGGTGGCCTGGGCCAGGTCGGGCCTGGCCAGCAGCCGCCTGGCTCCTCCTGGCTGCTGGGCCCGTGCTGGCACCCAGATGGCACTGAGCAAGCACTCCAGGCCTCTGGGGGAGGTGAGAGGCCACTGCCGGCACCTTGGCTGGACCCAGGGGGCCCGGCTGCTCGGCTCGGGTCAGGATGGAGCGGTCTGTGTCGTCCGCCTTGCTGTTGGTTCCGTTTGGTTTAGTTGGTGACAGTCTCACAGCGAGCTCACTGTACCCCAGGCTGACCTTGATCTTCCTGCCTCAGCCCCGGCTCTAACTCTATAACCCGAACCTGAACCCAAACCATCCAGGCTGTTGTGGGATCAGCCATCAGCTCAATGCATGGAGAAGGAGCCATCATCATGGCTGGGTGACCACCAGGCTCTCTGAGGCCAGGGTGGGCAGGGCTGAGGGCATACTCAGGCCGCCGGACCACACCGCCCCTCTGTCCCCTGGTGCAGGGGGACCCTGCCATCTTGCTCAGGTCCTGGCCCCTTCCGCCCTGGAACCTGAGACCTCACCTGGGCCCCAGCTGCGCTGTTCCTGAGGGGGCCTATGCCTTCCCCAAGTGTCGTGACCTTCCTACTTCCCTGGATGTCTCTGTCACCTTCAGGATGTCATCTGTTGTCTCATTCTGAAAGCAGAATACTTATCACTCAGGATTTAGAATGGAGGACTTCAGGAAAATGTGGCACGGTGAGCAGCAGAGAAAAAACCTCTCCAAGCTTTGGTGCCTGGACCCTGGGACACGAGGAGGAGGATCGAGGTGGGCGCCGTGGACACAGGAAGGGCCTGATCTCAGGCTTGGAGCCCACGGAGAGGAGACTGCAGGAGTCCAGGGCGGTGGACGCACTGGACGGGAGCAGCAGTGGGGAAGTCCGTGGCCCCCCCGTGGTCAGCCGGACACGGCCCAGGCCGAGGTGACAGGGACCGAGGCAGGAAGCCCCCTGATATTTACGTTGTCCCGCTGGGTTTGCAGGCTGGGTCAGCGTCTGGGTGACCGGAGGATAGCAGTATGTAAGGTAGTAAGGCTCGTGGGCGTCCTACTCTCCTGTCACTTTTTAATTTCATTTCATTGTCCTGTTTTACTCCCTTTAAAATAAAAATTTTTTTTAGAAATACATGTAAGCGAAAAAAAAAAAGAAGAAGAAACAGAAAGACCGTGACCCCACCACGAAAGCACAAGCGTGGGACGCCGGAATCTGCCTGCCAAACGGGCCGACAGCCAGCCTAGCGGGGGCCTGAGCTGTTGGGGGCAGCGCACAGGCTGCAGGGCCCCAGGACCCTGTGCTGGGCCACTGGTTTCCTAGGGCACCGATCAAACCCCAAGGCAGGACCGAAAGCCAGCAGGGCCCTCGGGCGCCCTGGTGTCCAACACTCACACCCCATCCTTGCTGGGACCTCCGCGCTGCAGCCCTGCCCTGTGCTGGGCCGCCTCGCCGGGCTGCAGGTCGCTGGACACAGTCCCATGGCCAGGTTCCGAGGACGGTACTCTGGGCCCCAGCCTCGCTTCCGCTCTTCGTTCTCCACCCCCTCCCGGAGTTTGCTCCTTGGAGAGCAGGACACCACCTGTGAGGCCACCGCGTCCCTCCAGCGGCAGCCACAGACTTTCCCTCCCAGAAGGGCACAAACGGTGGTCAGGCACATGCAGGGCTCAGCTTGATTTCCGGGTCCCGTGGCCAAAGCCTGCAGTGTCTTCGCCCTCGGGGGCCACCCCACTCCCACCCCGCAGTGGGATTTTACTCTGTGGCTTCTGCTGCTGGCCACACAGGGCACCTTCCCTGTAAGCCTTTTACCTGCTGCTAAGGGGAAAGCGCCCTTCCACCGGGCGTGGTGGTGCACACCTGCGTTACCAGCATCAGGAGGCTGAGGCGGGGGGATGCATACGAGTTACAGGCCAGCCTGCCCTTGACTGCCCTCGCCCTGGTGCTGCTCGTCTGTGTTGGTGAACTGCGTGTCCCCATCACTGTCAGTTCTCTGTGGCACCACGCACAATTTGGAGCTGCGCGTATGTGCATGGCCCTCGCTCGCACCCTTGGGCCTGGGGTCGTCCACCTCTGCCTCGTCCCAGGTGTGTTGGCTCCCACACCTGCCCAGTTGGTGCCTGCATCCTTCCTTCGGGTCGTGGTCAGGAGCAGCCTTGCACGCCTGGACACCTGGCACCCGCCAGTCCCTCTCCCATTGTGCCACCCACTGGATCTGTGCCCGCAGCTACTGTACAGGCCACTTCCCACGGGTCACCACCATCCACGCGGCCGCCCGACTAGGGTCACAGCTGTCCGAGCATCCCCAGGATGGGCAGTGTGCTGCCACTTCCGTATCTGGTTTAGCCTTGGCTTCCGTCGCTGGGGGTTGGCCCACGGGCACCAGCGAGGCCTGTGCGGCATGTGTTGCAGAGCCAGCAGCTGGGGCTCCACGTGGCTGCAGGTGTGCTGTGCCACCTCAGTGGCCCCGGGAGCCTGTTGCACCTTTACCAGCCAGGGATGCACAGTGGGTTCTAGCCACTGTGGGGCTTGCAGGGCCCCTGTGCTGGGCTCTAGGGCTGTGTTCAGGCTGCTTCTGCCACGGTCCACAGCAGTAGCTCTCGGCTTCTGACTCTTCCAGAACAGAGGGATGTGGGCCCTGCGGCACACAGGGTTCTCCTTCCGGGGGCACCTGCCATGCTCAGAAGCCTCTTGAGCCCTTTTGCCCCAACACCTCAGGATCCCTTGTATCGAGTCACCAGAGGGCGGTGACAGGAGCCAGGCAGGGCATGGAAACGGGCCTGTACCTGAGATTCCAGGACATCTGTGCTTGCTGTACAAGCTGGGGCCTTGGCACAGCTGCTGTGCAGTTTCTGTGGCACCCTGGTCAGAATGATTTCCGTCTCCCCCAAGTAACCCCAAGATTCCTGCCTGGCACCTGTGGGACGGATCCCATCCCTGCTCCTTCTGATGTCCTTGTGTGTCCCCACGTGTTTCTCTGGGTCTCCAAGACACCCAGAGCAGCACGATCTCATCTGCTCTGAGAGAGTGGCACGGTTCTGAGCCACCTCCACGGCAAGTGGCGGGGCTGTGCAAGTGGCCCCAGCTCGCCGAGAAGAGAGCCCTAAGGAGATCCAGGCAGGCGAAACCGAACCCTGAGGCCTCAGCCGCTGTTCAGTCCTGACCACGCAATGTGATGCTGTGACTTTGGCGGGGACCTGCCTCCCGTCAGCCATCTACCCCGCCACACCGTGCCACTGGAAGCCCTGGGGGCTGGGTGAACAATCCATGCTCTCCTGAACCCTGCACGGAGGCTGTGACGTCTGCTGGCCCTGGTCGACTACGCTGCTTGATGTTAAGCACTGCGTTCCACTGTACGTCTTTCCATGTCCCTGCAAACCTGTCACTGCCCCTCCCCAGGGGAATTCAAGAGGAGGGGGACCCCGGGAGCCCCAGCTGCACACCCACTTCATGTTCACCTGCAAATCTCTAAGACTGGGGTTCCTCTAGGACAGGCCCACTCGATTAGGCTCAGAGCAACTCAGGACAAACTTAAGACTTGGACAGAGTCCTCCTTGGTAGCTGTCACCAGGCGTTTCTGGGGGGACCCTCCTTTTGACCCCCCAGCCCTGCTCCTGGCTCCTTGGCTCTACCTTTCCAGGTGGCTCTAATGCCCCTGCCTCCCCTGAGCTTCAGGCAGACCAGATGTCTGAGGAATCAGTCCTCAGCACCCAACCCTTGGGCAGCTCTGCCAGCTGGCCGTCCTTCCTCTGCTGGCTGGCGGGAGATGGGACCAAGGACATCACTGAGGGCCGCTTCTGGGTCCTTTAGATCCTCTATGCAAACAGGGGCCCCAAGAAAACCCAGATCCCCCCTCCTGATGGGGTGCTTTTCCTTCTGTCTTCATTGTTCTGTGGATGGAACCCAGGGAGTTCCCGTCAAGCTGCACCCAGGTCCTGCACCCAGGTCCTGCACCCCAGATCCTGCACCCCAAGTCCTGCACCCCAGGTCCTGCACCCCAGATGCTGCACACCAGGTCCTGCACCCAGGTCCTGCACCCCAGGTCTTGCAGGAGTTTGGGTGGGGAGGATGGTGACACACACGGGCTTACGGCCACTGGGACTTGAACCCACAGGGCCTCCAGCTCCGGTCCCTGCCCCTGGCCTGGATGTCTGAGCCCTAGGCGCTCTGCAGCTCAGCACTGAGCCCTGGCTTACCGAGCAGGAGGGCAAAGGCACCGACCCACAGGTGGTCACACTCGAGCCACTGGGGACTCACAAGAAGCTCCAAGCTCTAGTCCCCACCTGTCCCCGCCCCCAGGCGTCACAGTCATCTGTACAGTCAAGAGGGGTCGGTGTGCTACGTCCGCATCTTGGGATTCTTAGTGCTTTGCTTTGTTTTGAGACAGGGTCTTACGTGTTTCAGGCTGGACTTGAACTCACTTTGTAGCCCAGGTCCTATGTCCCCTCTCTGGCCCTTTGCACTCCTTCCTCTCTTGCTGTGACATGGAAATGGCCACCGAGGCATGTGCGGGACCTGGTGAGCGCTGACCCAGCTCATGGCTCCAGTGCTTCAGGACAGCGGCCGGGCCAGCGGGCACTAAGGACCTGGGAAGTTTCCAGATCATCCTGTTTCCTCACGTGGCTCACAGCAGGGGATGAGCTTGGGACGTCCCGGAGTCGGTTGTTTCCGCTGAATGTTTAGGGGGCCAGGCTCAAGGAGCAGGTGTACTGGCCTGTGCACCCTGGACCCAGTCTCTGCCCCCACCCTGTCCTGTGTCCCCAGAGCTGCACCACCCACCCCCATTTCCAGATTCTCCAACCTCCTGCCTGTTTCCTTCTGATCCTGCGCATGGCC